ATACGGACACCATCACAATCCGTTATTGGATCTGCTCAATGGACCTTCCCGGAAATACTGAACAGATACGGACACTAACGCTAAACCTCTGCAGTAACGAGCATGTTGAGCTGGTAGCTCTGTGGGTGAGTTATAGAGACCCAGATCGCTCCGGTAAATTCAGGCTAACATTAAACTATATACAAAGACCAACTGCCCACCCAATTTCTTAAATAAAAATAAACTTTAAATCGTACCATAATTTTATTAAAATCCAAATTGATATATAGACACATATATGTACAAATCACAGGGATATGGCAGCAGTAAGTTATAAATTCCTCAGTATAGTCTATATATACAGAAGGATGCAGAGTATAATGTCTGTGTGTTAAATCAATACATGTAATAAATGACTGAAAAATAAATATAAAAAACTCCTGTACAAAGTGTTTTACCTCCTTGTGTAGATACATTGTGATAAAATGACACCAGAAGCCCCCAATGTTTCGGCCTGAATAGCCTTCATCAAGGGTGATGCTTGGGCTAAAAATAAATATAAAAAGACAAGCTCTCCTCCCGGCCTCAAGGTATAGATAATATGTTATGTGATAGTTTAATGTGAGCCTGGATTTACAATGCTTTTGTGGCATTAACCATCTGGCCATTATATTCAGGTTATATTTATCCTAAGAGGCTCCATTTTGCCCTAATATTTTGTGGACTTTCTGGACTTAAATATTAATTTCAATTCATTTTAATTTGTGGTATTAATATTTAATATAATGGACATGTATTTTATTCTATTTTAAGATGTTGCTATACCCCAATAATTGATCTATATTTGTATTTATATTGATATCTCTATATTTTTAATTTCTATTCAGCATTTTATCCCACTCTAAGCTATTTCTCCTGACCATCCTGCTATACTGTTAGCTAGGTTATATCTTTGTATTTAATTTAGGGTATGGTGAACCCTGGGTTAATTTTAACAATATTTAGTTAATTGTCCCCTAAAGCACTTTTGGATGGGGACAGGGCACATCATGACCGGTCTGCAGCTACGTAGCCTCATATGCAGCAAACTGCGATGCACTGTATGTTCTGACACCTTTCTGGTGGCCAACATTACGATTTCCAGCAATTTGAGTTTCAGTAGCTCACCTATGTGATCGGAACCAGACGGGCATCAATTTATTTATTTATTACTGGCATTTATAAAGCGCCAACATATTCTGCAGTGCTGTACGATTGGGAAAAAGACAAACATAATAAGAACAAACCAATACAACAGGTAGAGGACCCTGCCCGTCAGCTTACAATCTAAAGGTTAAAATGGGGAGATGATCCTTGGTTGCCCATGACCATGATGCTGGTTCACCGGTTGTCCTTCCTTGCACCACATGGGGTTAGTACTAACCACTGCATACCGGGAACACCCAAACACCCAAAACTTGCCCTTTGGAGATGCTCTGACCCAGTTGTCTAGCCTTTTGGTCTTTGTCAAAGTCCTCAGATCTTTTCTCTTGTCCATTTTCCCTCCTGCCAACACATGAAATTCAAGAATTGACTGTTCACTTGCTGCCCAATATCCCACCCCTTGACAGGTGGCATTGTAATGATATAATCAATGTTGTGGCTGATCAGTGTATGTCCCTTCACCTCATTAAATCCCTCTCCCATCATTTACACCCAACCTGTACATCCCCACCCACCTTCCAGTCACCTACACCCAGCCTGGATATTCTCACCTACCTCTATGTCACCTACACCCAGCCTGGACATCCCCACCCGCCTTCCAGTCACCTACACCCAGCCTGGACATTCCCACCTACCTCCAGGTCACCTACACCCAGCCTGGACATTCCCACCTCCGGGTCACCTACACCCAGCCTGGACATCCCCACCCACCTTCCAGTCACCTACAACCAGCCTGGACATTCCCACCCACCTCCAGGTCACCTACAACCAGCCTGGACATTCCCACCTCCAGGTCACCTACACCCAGCCTGGACATCCCCACCCACCTTCCAGTCACCTACACCCAGCCTGGATATTCCCACCTACCTCCAGGTCACCTACAACCAGCCTGGACACATGATTCTCATATAGTCAATGATTTAACTCCAAACTGGTTTAAATCTAAATTACATAATGTATCCTTGTAACTCATCTGGAAACATTCTCCTATTCAGCTATAAAGCTATAAGGGGGTGAGCAAAGGGAGGGCTCATTTAATCACATCCACATAGGTAACTAAAAACATCCTGCATCCAGGTGCAACTGACCCCTGGCTCACCCCGACCAAATTATCTCGGAAATTGTAACGCATATCCCAAAAGTATATTAAATAGTAATGTCATCTAACTAGCAAACTGAAATGGAGAAGATTATCATAAAATGCCCTAACCTTCAAAACCATATAAACAAAAGATTATCAACATTAATTCAATATAGAATGAACCGTGTATAATGAACAATATGTTAGCATAACAGTACAGGTGTGCAATGAAGAATGTGTAGCCAGAACTAGCAAAACAAAACATACACAAAAATATTTGTATTTATTTATTGACAATATAACAGTAGTTGGCACAAGGCCCACATGCAGATCTAATATGGAGGTGGTCCTGGTGCAAGAATTTTTTTTTGCTCTCACAATGCTTTGCAAGCTAGGGATCAACCATTTGCCCATTCTTACAGGGTTGTATTTAGCACCGAGCAGTGTTTGTGTGTTTGAATGTAAGCATGTTTTTGTATGGTGTATGTGTGAGTGAATGTCAGGGTGTATTTGTATGTAGTGTTGTGTGTTTTTATGTACTGTTGCCATTTGAAAGCAGTGGATTACTTGTGTAATACCCACACCCACACATAGATAGACACACTGACACACACACAGTTTCACAGACACAGAGAAAGACACATAGATACACACACACTGACACACACACAGTTTCACAGACACACAGAAAGACACAGAGATATACACACTGACAAACACAGTTTCACTGACACACAGATAGACACAGAGATACACACACTGACAAACACAGTTTCACAAACACACAGTAAAACACAGAGATTTACACACTGACACACACAGTTTCACAGACACACAGAAAGACACAGATATACACACAATGACACGCACACAGTTTCACAGACACAAAAAAACACAGAGATATACACACTGACACACACACACAGTTTCACAGACACACAGAAAGACACAGAGATGCACACACTGACACACACAGTTTCACAGACACACAGAAAGAAACAAAGATACACACAGTGACACACATACAGATACACATACTGACATACATATAGACACAAAGACACACAGATACATTCCCAGCATCCCTAGATTGTGAAGGACAGGCCATGGATGACTTAGTCTTCAAATAAAAAGGTGTTACTTAGCAGAAAAAATAAAATTCTTCTGTGGTGTCTGTCTCTTGATACGGTGTCTGCAACAAGAAGTGATGTGTAATTAGTTTAGCATCATATGAATTGCCTACTTTTTACTTATAAATAAGAATGTACAGCTTATTAAGGTCACAGTGATGGTGGGGGGCAATTATTATTATTATTGGCATTTATATAGCGCCAATAGATTCCGTACCGCTTTACAATATTATAAGAAGGGGCATTTAACAATAAGTAAGACAATTACAAAAACTTACAGGAATGATATGTTGAAGGGGACCCTGCACAAATGAGCTTACAGTCTATAGGAGGTGGGGTGTAAAACACAAAACGACAGGAGATAGCAATCAAAAAGGGTAGGAGTGAAGCAAAACTGGAGGAGAGATAGAGTGATACCCTTTAGGAGAGAGCAATAGACAGGTATGTGTGGTAGAGGTTCCTCTGGGAGGCCATAAGCTTTCCTAAAGTGATGGGTTTAAGGTACTTTTTAAATGATTGAAGACTAGGGGAGAGTCTGATGGTGGTAGACAGGCTATTCCAAAGGAAAGGAGCCACCTGTCAGGTCCCCTGCCCCCGCGCCGCTCCCGGCGACCTTGCTTACCTCATCACAGCGAGCAACGTCATCTGGTCCCTGTCTCCAGACTGGCAGTGTGTCTGACACTGCACGCTCCAGAGCAGCTTCCTTATATGTGTGCTGCACCCGGTCATGTGACCCGGCACACAGTGATGGCCTCAGAGACCACAAGGGAGGGAAGAAACACCTCCTACGTGTTGTATTTAACACTAATTGGAGATTAGCCAATCAGACACACCCTGTGTGTATATAAGCTAACCTCTCCCTTGCCTCAGTGCCCTGTTGTGGTCTTTGGTTTACCATTGAGCGTTGCACTTGTTATTTGGATTTCCTGGTTACTGATATTTGGCTTTGTCTCTCGTTATTCCATGTCTTTGTTTCCCTTGACCTCGGTTCATGTTTTGACTATCCCTTTTTGCATAACCTGACCATTCTAAGGATCGGTATTTCAATTCTCTCTACTCTGTCCTGTCTGCATGTTAGGGTTTCCTAGTGAACGTTACACCACCTGCAAGAAGTCCTGCAAGCGTAAATTGGCCTTACAGGTGCAAGCAGCAGACAGGAGAAGGTCATGGGTAGAGCATAGAGATTGAGAAGGGGCATACCTACGGATCTGTGAGGAGATGTAGGAGGGGATAGAATTGTTCAATGCTTATAGGTATGGGTTAGTACTTTGAATTGACTCCTACAGGATACAGGAATCCAATGTAAGGAATGACATGTGGGAGAGGTGTGAGAGGAGCGACTGGAGAGGAAAATCAGTCTGGCAGCAACATTCATTACAGACTGTAGTGGGGCAATGTGGCTTTTGGGAAGACCAATTAGGAGAGGGTTACAATAATCCATGCGAGAGATTACTAGACAAGGACAAGGTCCTTAGTAGCATCTTGCATAAGATGGAGGCGGATGTAGGCTATGTTTTTAAGATGGAATCTACAGGATTTGGATGCAAAGATATACAGATACACACATACCATAGGAGAACATGGTCTTTTTGATGTTCAAACTGCTGCTATAGTTTGACCAACATGTGGCCGTCACCATCTTCTTTGCTGGACATCTTTTCTTTTCTTTCATTACCGATATTCCTAGATTGTGAAGGACAGGCCATGGATGACTTAGTCTTGAAAAAAAGAGGTGTTACTTAGCAGAAAAAAATTAATTCTTCTGTGGTGTCTGTCTCTTGATACGGTGTCTGCAACAAGAAGTGATATGTAATTAGTTTAGCATCATCTGGCATTGCCTATTTCTTACATAATAATATGAACGTACTGTGTATTATGGTCACAGTAATGGTGGGGAGCAATTATTATTATTGGCATTTATATAGTGCCAATAGATTCCATACTGCTTTACCATATTATAAGAGGGAGTATTTAACAATAAGTAAGATAATTACAAAAACTTACAGGAATGATAGGTGGGGTATAAAACACAATACAACAGGATATAGCAATCAAAAAGGGTAGGAATAAAGCAAAACTGGAGGAGAGATAGAGTGCTGCCTTTTAGGAGAGAGCAAGGGACAGGTATGTGAGGTTGAGGTTCATCTGGGAGCCATACGCTTTCCTAGTGTGATGGGTTTTAAGGCACTTTTTAAAGATTGAAGACTAAGGGAGAATCTGATGGGGGTAGACAGGCTATTCCTAAGGAAAGGAGCCACCCGTGAGAAGTCCTGCAAGCGTGACAGGTGAAGGTCTTGGGCAGAGGGTAGAGATCAAGAAGGGGCATACTGACGGATCTGTGAGGAGATGTAGGAGGCTATAGAATTGTTCAATGCTTTATCGGTATGGATTAGTACTTTGAATTAATTCCTATAGGATACAGGAAGTCAACGTAAAAACTGTCAGAGGGGTGAGGTGTCAGAGGACCGACTAGAGAGGAAAATCAGTCTGGCAGCAATATTCATTACAGACTGTAGCAGGGCAATATGGCTTTTGGGAAGACCAATTAGGAGAGGGTTACAATAATCCATGAAAGAGATTACTAGAGCATGGGCAAGCTGCTTGATAGCATCTTGCGTATGAAAGAAGCGCATGCGGACTATGTTTTTAAGATGGAATCTACAGGATTTGGTAAAAGACTGGATGTGAGACTCAAAGGTGAGGCCAGAATCAAGTATGATGCCAAGACAGTGCGCTTGCAAGGATAGACTGATGTGGGTTCCATCAACTTGAAGGGAAAGTGAGAGAGGATAATCAATATTAGTAGGAGGAAAGACAAGAAGTTCAGTTTTAGAGAGATTGAGTTTCAGAAAGTGGAAGGACATGCAGTCAGCGATGGAAGAAGGGCAAGCAGTGACACATTGCATGATGGCAGGGAGAGGTACGGGGAGGAGAGATATATCTTGGTGTCATCGGCGTATAGTTGGTAGTGGAATCCAAATGAGGTAATAAGTTTGCCAAGAGATGCAGTATAAAAAGAAAATAGAAGGGGATCAAGGACAGAGCCTTGGGTGACTCCAACCGAGACAGGACGAAGGGAGGAAGTGTCATTAGAAAAGGAGACACTGAATGAGCATTGGGACAGATAGGAGGAAAACCACGAGAGGACAGTGTCACAGAGACACAGAGTGATTGAAGAGTTTGAAGAAGTAGAACATGATCAACAGTGTTAGCAATTAATAAATAAATACATATATAAATTAAGTCAGTTCTTTTTAAATGGAACCCTTCTCTTGGATATGATTACTGGTGGATCAAGGAATCAGTTTTCATGCTTTTGTGGTGGAGTTATTATTCTGTATAATCTTTCCTCAGTTTGTAAATACTGATTATTTGTGTACTTACCAGCAATGACAAGAATGGACAGGTCACTTTGCCCCTCTCTAGATCTTCCCAATTAATGTTTGTGTAGAAGGGGTGCCCCCGAATGTTCCTTCCTGCCACAGCACGTTCAGTAGCATCCTTATCCAGGAGCTAGTAAGAGAGAGAGAGAGATAGAGAGGATACACTGAGTATAATTTACATTATATCTCTGAACTGTAACACTTTGATATACAATCTTTAATGCATTCAAAACCAATCACCTCTGATGGAGGACGCCATTTTAACCTTCTAACAAACCTCAGATGAGGCAGTGCTTGTGAAAAGCTTGTTGTATATGTGTTACATTAACTAAAATCTCGATTATATGACTGACCAGCAAATCTAATTTTTTGTAAATAATGTTTTTTTTAATTTAGATTTCCTCTTGTGTTGTCCGGAACATAAAATGGCTGCATGATCTGTCTGTCGGTTGCAGGCAGAGAGTAATAAATAGGATTAATAAATGAAAAGAAGAAAATAGGCTCTGATCCAAAAGTCCCAAAACAATGAGGGACCAATGGAGCAGTGCCAAAGGATGCCCACTGTTACTCTCCCTAAATCTGGGGAATAACACACAATGTACAAAGTAAAGATAAGAGTGGACTGGAGTGTCCTAGTGGGAGAGTTAACATAAAAAGAAGAGGGGGAAAAAGCAGATTTTGGGGGATTTCTACGGGTATCCGTGTACGCAATTATATACGCTGATAATAGTAATAACTAGTTGTCTCTCACCTTGTCCTGTTTTAGGGTTCTGATACTTTTCCACACTATTGTTTTTCCCCTAGGATTATTAAAAGGTATGGCTTCCCTCTGCTTTTTTCCCCTCTTCTTTTTATGTTAACTCTCCCACTAGGACACTCCAGTCCACTCTTACCCTTAATAAATAGGATTACGTATTGTAAATTAAATGTCAGTGTTTTTATCTGCCATCATTATTAAATGTTAGTATTAACCCATTAAACATCAGGATTTAAGTCATTTCAGGCTTTAGATAAACACCCCAGCACTCCATGCCGCTATCAAACCCGTGCAAAAGGGGGCGACAGCCATGAATGTGGAATACTGAAGCTTCTCAGCACGGAACACAAGTTACTTTCACTATTCCAGTTGGTTCTTTAACCTGTTTAGTACATACTCCAAGAAATATAACTAGTATCGATTCCCAGTAACGCCCCCCCCCCATATCTCCACCAGTATTTTCTTTAATGTTTCTTTACATCCCCTATCATTACATCCAATTAAAACATTAACCGGCACATTCTCTATCACCTTACCTTGTCCAGGAGGTCTGTAGGATTGCTGCACAGCCAGGTGGGGTAACGTGGGTCAGTGTTTAATACTTCCTTGATGTACTCCTGTCTGCTGAGCTTGTTATTAAATGGGAATTTTCCGGTGATCATGCGGCAGAGAATTACGCCAAATGACCACCAGTCTGCTGATTGGCCGTACAGTTTGTTGCTGAGTACCTGGCAAAACCCATAAGATATGCAATTTTATTAAATATGGTATTAAATGTACCAAACCTATCACATTCTAGAGATCTTCATACATTACCCATCTTTTTATTATTAGGCTAGTCCAATAGCGTTCTTGTCAGTGCATCCATTAATACTCTGATACTGCCCTTATACCCAGCTCGTGTTAGTCATCCTTCTACTGCTCGTTATACACCCCTTTAGCTACTGCATTGCTCTTATACCACTCCTCGTAACTCCTCCCCCTACATTCCACGTAACCACACCCTCTAACTAACCTCTGGCGCCATGTAAAGCAGTGTGCCAGCGTGTCCTCTGGTTGTTGTATCTGTAAAGATATTTTCTGCTGAGAGACCAAAGTCAGCTATTTTGAGATAGCCGTTGGCACCCAGGAGAATATTATCTGGCTTCAGATCCCTAAATGATGAAGACAGATATAAAGGTGAGATATAGGACAGAGCAGAGATATAAACACATTATTTCTTGTTAGAGTAAGTTACCGCTTACTGAATAAACTAACGCTAATACTGACCGATGAAGGATCCCCCGGGAATGGAGGTACTGGATCCCACAAACAAGGTTTGATGAAAAGAACCTGGAAAACAGAATATAAAGAATATAAAGCAATCTGCCCCAAACATTAATAGTAAATAAAATAATAAAATATACCTGGGCAAGGTACGAGTATCTATACATCATGCTAAACACTGCGACCAATATGAACATAACATTTTCATTTTAAACTAAACAGGACCTGTCCTTGGGAGATTAGAGTTTACTTTATTACCATTAATATTGTTATTAAAACCATCAGTGTTTTAATTTGGAACATGACTGTCCCTTGATATATTATCCATTGAACCCTTCTCGGTTCTCTGCCATAAAGCACAAGCTGCTCTATGATTCTTCAAGTCCCCTCCAATTTGTTAGATGTACAAATCAATAATCTATAAACATATGAATTTATTACGAAGATCCATGGTCATAGCAATTTGTATTTCAAGTGTGTAGAAGAAGATCCACCCTGAAGTCAGCTTAGCGCTGCGGCAGGTCAGCTGACCCCTAGTGGCTCCCGATCTGCCGTCAGTCAGTACAGAACGTATCCCACTGCTAGTCCTGAGTTTCTTTTTTTGTTTGTTTTAGACAATCTTTATTTTTATTTTTAAATCGAACAAAGCAGGTAGAATTATGTGTACACGTGCAGTAATGCCTCAGACAGACACGGAATGAGTTATTAACAAGGAAAACATCTAAAAAGTTCTAAGTTGCCTCTGTATATCGAAAGATGGGTGTTTGGGCATGCATGTCAATAGTAACTTTCCTAGCAGGAAGTACCATGGAAAGCATTGTCATATACGATATCATCAGATGGAATCCATGATATCAACCGATTATCCAACTCGTCAACCATTTAAGCCATCACGTATTCCAGAGGGATGTAAGATTCTCCGTCCTCAGCTAGTGAGCGAGATACCACTGAGGAGGAGGGGAAAAAAAGGGAGGGAAGAGAGAGAAAGAAAGAAAAAATAGGACACGAGCATAGAATAGGATCAGAGCTGGGTTTCTTGTATTGCCCATTGTCTGGCTGATATTGAAGGAGGAATTCTGGTTTAGTACATTACTGTTAACCCAGTCTGTACCCCTGATGGATCTCCATTAATAGCACTACTATTGAGGGTATATGTATATATCCTTACATTCCTGTATCGTGTGTTAAACTCACTCCTTCCTCCTACCTGCTAGAGCTATTAACGACTCACCTTGCTTCCCCCATGGGCAGACATTCCTTTCCAGCCATGTAAGAATGGAGACTGCCCCCTGGTACGTGCTCCATGACCAGGGAGGCTTCCTTCTGTTTCACAAGAGAGATAACATATATCCAGTTAATATATATATTGTAATAATAATAACAGAACACAATCAGCCGTATAGAAATATATAGAAATAAGGAAACATTATGGACAGCGTTTCTTACCTGGGTCTGGAAGGCAGCGAGTCCCTGACATAGGAATGGACTGCCGCTCGCCATTTGCAGTATCCGCTCCTCCTTCTGAATGGTCCTTTCCTTAACTTTATCTTTCTTTATTACTTTAATTGCAACAACCTGACCTGTGTCCTTGGTGGAAGCTAGCACAACCTGAGCATCACATAGAGAGAGGAGAGAGCCTCGTATCAGCCACAATATCACAAACGAAATGGGAAATTTTAGCTACTTTGTGATTTAAAACTTCATTCAGTGGGGACATATTACAGATATCACGTGGTAACATCACTTCAACACCACCTGAGGGATGTCTATACAGAGCTTGGGAACCTACCTGAAACAAACCTACATAAAGAATAAATATACATAGCTCTGGAACCTACCTGAGAACCCTATATCAGGGATTTATATACACAGCTCTGGTACCTACCTAAGAACCCTATTTTAGAGATATATATACATAGCTCTGGGACCTACCTGAGAACCCTATATCAGGGATATATATACATAGCTCTGGTACCTACCTGAGAACCATATATCAGGGATTTATATACACAGCTCTGGTACCTACCTAAGAACCCTATTTTAGAGATATATATACATAGCTCTGGGACCTACCTGAGAACCCTATATCAGGGATATATATACATAGCTCTGGGATCAACCTGAGAACCCTATATAAGGGATATATATACATAGCTCTGGGACCAACCTGAGAACACTATATCAGAGATATATATACATAGCTCTGGGACCTACCTGAAAATCCTATATCAGGGATATATATACATAGCTCTGGGATCAACCTGAGAACCCTATATAAGGGATATATATACATAGCTCTGGGACCAACCTGAGAACACTATATCAGAGATATATATACATAGCTCTGGGACCTACCTGAAAACCCTATATCAGGGATATATATACACAGCTCTGGGATCAACCTGAGAACCCTATATAAGGGATATATATACATAGCTCTGGGACCAACCTGAGAACACTATATCAGAGATATATATACATAGCTCTGGGACCTACCTGAGAACCCTATATCAGGGATATTTATACATAGCTCTGGGACCTACCTGTGAACCCTATATCAGGGATATATATACATAGCTCTGGGACCTACCTGAGAACCCTATTTCAGGGATATATATACATAGCTCTGGGACCTACCTGTGAACCCTATATCAGGGATATATATACATATCTCTGGGATCTACCTGTGAACCCTATATCAGGGATATATATTCATAGCTCTGGGACCTACCTGAGAACCGTATATCAGGGATATATATACAGAGCTCTGGGACCTACCTGAGAACCCTATATCAGGGATATATATACATAGCTCTGGGACCTACCTGTGAACCCTATATCAGGGATATATATACATAGCTCTGGGACCTACCTGAGAACCCTATTTCAGGGATATATATACATAGCTCTGGGACCTACCTGTGAACCCTATATCAGGGATATATATACATATCTCTGGGATCTACCTGTGAACCCTATATCAGGGATATATATTCATAGCTCTGGGACCTACCTGAGAACCGTATATCAGGGATATATATACAGAGCTCTGGGACCTACCTGAGAACCCTATATCAGGGATATATATATACATAGCTCTGGGACCTACCTGAGAACCCTATATCAGGGATTTATATACACAGCTCTGGTACCTACCTGAGAACACTATTTTAGGGATATATATACATAGCTCTGGGACCTACCTGAAAACCCTATATCAGGGATATATATACACAGCTCTGGGATCAACCTGAGAACCCTATAAAAGGGATATATATACATAGCTCTGGGACCAACCTGAGAACACTATATCAGAGATATATATACATAGCTCTGGGACCTACCTGAGAACCCTATATCAGGGATATATATACATAGCTCTGGGACCTACCTGTGAACCCTATATCAGGGATTTATATACATAGCTCTGGGATCTACCTGTGAACCCTATATCAGGGATATATATTCATAGCTCTGGGACCTACCTGAGAACCCTATATCAGGGATATATATACAGAGCTCTGGGACCTACCTGAGAACCCTATATCAGGGATATATATACATAGCTCTGGGACCTACCTGAGAACCCTATATCAGGGATATATATACATAGCTCTGGGACCTACCTGAGAACCCTATATCAGGGATATATATATATATATATATATATATATATAAAGAAAAAAGCACTGTACCTTGCACTCAAACTCCATGTATCCAAACCGGGTGCACTCCCAGGGCTCCAAATATCCAAATAGCTGAATCAAAGGTTGCACTCACGGATTCTTAAAACATAGCTTTTATTGTGTACTCCTAAAAAAATCGATGTTTCAGTCCTATTCAAGGACTTTCATCAGGATCATAGAAACATAACATAACAATTCAACCATATATAGGATGCAATAAATGACAATAACTCACCACAGGTGCCATGAAACAACCGGCGTCCCGGTCGGGAATGTGCGCATGTGCCGAGTAGCCCCTCCCCCCGGCGTAACGTGTGACGCCGCCGTTGCTATAGTGACGCGGCCAGCGTATACTATATTGAAGCCGGCATCTGAACCGGAACTGTGCAGTGATGCGGAGAGGTTCCGCCCCCAATGTGACATCATGTGTGCGCCGCCATCGTTACCATAGTAACGCGGCTGTGAATGAGAAGCTACAACACATCAATATGGAAACAAACTTATCGAAAAAATGATAACCTAGTTGTGAACATCTAGGCTACTATGGAACATTGACATACCAAATATGGTTAAGCCAAGTGTGAATGTGATCTATGTATATTAATAAAGTGCAAATGGGTCATTAAAAGTGCTATCAAAATTATCTCTTAAAGTGCCATATACGTGCATAATATTTAAAGTGCCACAGTGCAACTGTACTCATGCTGTGACCCACTATAATTAATATGAATGTATATATTAAATAACCCCAATGATTAGAGATTAATGTTAATAAATTAGTCAAAAAAGGTATATACATATGGTTATATAAGGCTTTTTTACACGATTTTTTTTCAACTGATTTTCTCTTTCTTGTTTCTGCTCAACTGATATTCAACAAATATGTATTTTCAAACAATTGTTACAACAGCACTATTATATTCTACATCAAAGACTGTTGAACACATTTCAAAACAATAACTATTGATGCTAGCAAAACAAAGATGGTTGATTATATAATAAGAGGGCGGTCACAGGATAGTCATGAAAAATGCACATAAAAAACCTAAAATACACACAAATATAAAATCACATATAAAAGAACATTAAGGGGCATTCAGGCCAAAAAAGAATGTAGCGACAAAGCTTCATTTAATCCTTTTGGAGACACAGTGTCCAACTCATGGATCCAATAGGCTTCTCTATTAAGTAGCATCCTCCCCCTATCACCCCCTCTTCTAGGGTTAGGGATGTGGTCAATAGCCACAAATTTCAATGTAGCCAATGGGTGCTTTAGTTCAAAAAAGTGTTTTGCAACCGGTTTATCTGTAAAACCATCCCGATATGCCAGTCTAATAGAAGATCTATGTCCCCTAATTCGTTCGCAGATGGCCGTCTCCGTTTTCCCAATGTAACATAAGCCACACGGACAAGACAGTTTGTATATTACATGTGTCGTCTTGCAAGTAATAGTATATCGAATAGTATATTTTCTATTATTGTGAGGGTGAAAAAAAGTTCTTGCAGGTGTCATGTGGCTACAGGTCACACAGCCAAGGCAGCGAACAGATCCTCTTATTTGTTCCTTCGCTATATTCAAATAGCTTTGGGAGGGATCCGTGTGTACTAGCATATCTTTTAGGTTTCTATTTCTCTTATAACAGATTAATGGCTTTTCTTTAAACACTTTCGGGAGCGTGTCGTCACTCGACACGATCCTCCAATTCTTCCTAATGACCGATGCCACTTGAGAAGTAGACTGGTTGTATACCATAGGGAAAACCAAATTAAGAGGTTTCTTCTTTGTTTCAATGGCGCGTGCATTCAATGCTTCTTGTAGCGCTGTTTCCAACATAAATTCGTCATAACCTCTATGAAGAAATTTGTTTTTCATTTCAAGAATCTGGACATCCCTAATTGCTGCTTCCGAATTGTTCCTGATTACTCTTAGGAATTGTGCCTTTGGTAGTGAGTTCTTCAGAGCCCTGGGATGTGCACTCTGGTAGTGAAGGAGTGTATTCCTATCTGTAGGTTTTGTATAGAGAGAATATTGAAAATGTGTTGCTCCCAATGAAATTTCCAAATCCAAATAATGCACCTTCTCTGTGCTAATATCCGCCGTAAATCTTACTGGGGTTGGTAAAAGATTAAGATCTTGAACCATTTTGTGGGCTGATTCACACGTTCCACTCCATATGATGAACAGGTCGTCAATAAATCTGTAGTACGCTATTATATTACTTTGGTACTTCTCCAATATGTGTTCCTTCTCATACACATACATGTATGCATTAGCATACATCGGCGCCATAGATGCGCCCATTGATGTGCCAGCCACTTGTAGATACCAATTATTTTCAAAACGAAAGTAATTATTCTGTAAAGTTAGAGAAAGTAGTTCCAAAACATATTCTATAGGGGGGCCATGGTAGACAGGAGATTAAATCAGGACTTACCGCATAGCTTCTACCCCAGCATCATGTGGTATCACTGTGTATAGACTATGTACGTCCATCGTTATTAGGACTGGTCTATAATTACCATAAGATAATTCATTGATTTTGGTAATGAGAGTTTGAGAATCTTTAATACAGGTAGACAGTTCTCCAACTGGTATGAGCATTAGGTCTAAAGCCACGGTTTGCAGAGAATGGACGCAAGTGTTGAACAGAGCATCACTTGACCTAATGCTCATTATTATTAGAGATGTGAAGGCAGATCTGATGGACACTAACTTAAATATCACTGAATTAGAGACTGAATACGCAACATTATTGGCTACACCTGAAGGATTAAAGACCATACAAAAACTTAAAGAGGAAGTTTTGAAATATAAGATGGAATTAGTGAGTTTTAAAAAACAGAAATTTGAGAAAGTCACACAAGACTATTTGGAACACAGAGTCTATGGTTGGCTCACTGGTAACATTAGAGCCAATAGACCCAGGATACAACGTAGAAGGATACAGCGACCTAGGGTCCCAACAGTGGACGTAACCTCAGGAGAGTCAGCCTCTGATTCAGATACCAGAAACATCACGGAAGCTTCAAAAGCACTTTTTTTAGCCACAGACGAAGCAGGCACAATAACCAGGAGCCGGTTCAGGGTCTACGTAGACCAAGAACGAGGCGAGGCCGTAAAGGAAAGAACACCTGTACAGGGGAAACCCCCACGCAGGAGGTAATCCCTATATTCAACCTTTCTCAAAGACCCCTTGATACAACTGAGATAGAACTTCTTAGTAAAGGCCTTTCATTTGTGCCTACATCTAAGGCTGATGTTTTCAAGTGGAAGATTGAACTGCATAAGTTCGGGCGAACTATGAGATTGAAAGAATTTTTCTCAAATACAGTGGAACGTAATACAGCAGATACAGATGTTTTTCGGGCCAAATCCACATTTGACGCTATATCTAATAGGGCGTCCATTAAGACTTTTCTCTCCATGACCAATAAAGAAGTCCAAACCCTTATGCAACGTGAGTGTAAAGTGAAACACAATATCATGAAACAACAAAGGAAAATTATAAAGGGATTAGCAACAGATCCATCAATAGTCATCCGTTCGGCTGACAAGGGAGGTGGAATCGTCATTATGGACTATATGAACTATGCTAAAGACCTGAATGTGCAACTATCAGACAGAACCACCTATACATTGTTAGATGGAGATCCCACTATCAACATTCAGAATAAAATTGAAGATGTTTTATCAATGGGCCTGAGATCGGGCTATATTGATTCCAAATTACATCATTATCTTATTAAAGCATGCCCCCGCACGCCTATCATATATTCGATTCCAAAAATCCATAAAAATCCAAAATCACCGCCAGGACGCCCTATAGTGTCAGCCATTGATGGTGTTCTAGAGCCTATTACTAAATGGCTCGATTATTTGTTCCAAGGTCCAGTTGGAGAACTGTCTACCTGTATTAAAGATTCTCAAACTCTCATTACCAAAATCAATGAATTATCTTATGGTAATTATAGACCAGTCCTAATAACGATGGACGTACATAGTCTATACACAGTGATACCACATGATGCTGGGGTAGAAGCTATGCGGTAAGTCCTGATTTAATCTCCTGTCTACCATGGCCCCCCTATAGAATATGTTTTGGAACTACTTTCTCTAACTTTACAGAATAATTACTTTCGTTTTGAAAATAATTGGTATCTACAAGTGGCTGGCACATCAATGGGCGCATCTATGGCGCCGATGTATGCTAATGCATACATGTATGTGTATGAGAAGGAACACATATTGGAGAAGTACCAAAGTAATATAATAGCGTACTACAGATTTATTGACGACCTGTTCATCATATGGAGTGGAACGTGTGAATCAGCCCACAAAATGGTTCAAGATCTTAATCTTTTACCAACCCCAGTAAGATTTACGGCGGATATTAGCACAGAGAAGGTGCATTATTTGGATTTGGAAATTTCATTGGGAGCAACACATTTTCAATATTCTCTCTATACAAAACCTACAGATAGGAATACACTCCTTCACTACCAGAGTGCACATCCCAGGGCTCTGAAGAACTCACTACCAAAGGCACAATTCCTAAGAGTAATCAGGAACAATTCGGAAGCAGCAATTAGGGATGTCCAGATTCTTGAAATGAAAAACAAATTTCTTCATAGAGGTTATGACGAATTTATGTTGGAAACAGCGCTACAAGAAGCATTGAATGCACGCGCCATTGAAACAAAGAAGAAACCTCTCAATTTGGTTTTCCCTATGGTATACAACCAGTCTACTTCTCAAGTGGCATCGGTCATTAGGAAGAATTGGAGGATCGTGTCGAGTGATGACACGCTCCCGAAAGTGTTTAAAGAAAAGCCATTAATCTGTTATAAGAGAAATAGAAACCTAAAAGATATGCTAGTACACACGGATCCCTCCCAAAGCTATTTGAATATAGCGAAGGAACAAATAAGAGGATCTGTTCGCTGTCTTGGCTGTGTGACCTGTAGCCACATGACACCTGCAAGAACTTTTTTTCATCCTCACAATAATAGAAAATATACTATTCGATATACTATTACTTGCAAGACGACACATGTAATATACAAACTGTCTTGTCCGTGTGGCTTATGTTACATTGGGAAAACGGAGACGGCCATCTGCGAACGAATTAGGGGACATAGATCTTCTATTAGACTGGCATATCGGGATGGTTTTACAGATAAACCGGTTGCAAAACACTTTTTTGAACTAAAGCACCCATTGGCTACATTGAAATTTGTGGCTATTGACCACATCCCTAACCCTAGAAGAGGGGGTGATAGGGGGAGGATGCTACTTAATAGAGAAGCCTATTGGATCCATGAGTTGGACACTGTGTCTCCAAAAGGATTAAATGAAGCTTTGTCGCTACATTCTTTTTTGGCCTGAATGCCCCTTAATGTTCTTTTATATGTGATTTTATATTTGTGTGTATTTTAGGTTTTTTATGTGCATTTTTCATGACTATCCTGTGACCGCCCTCTTATTATATAATCAACCATCTTTGTTTTGCTAGCATCAATAGTTATTGTTTTGAAATGTGTTCAACAGTCTTTGATGTAGAATATAATAGTGCTGTTGTAACAATTGTTTGAAAATACATATTTGTTGAATATCAGTTGAGCAGAAACAAGAAAGAGAAAATCAGTTGAAAAAAAATCGTGTAAAAAAGCCTTATATAACCATATGTATATACCTTTTTTGACTAATTTATTAACATTAATCTCTAATCATTGGGGTTATTTAATATATACATTCATATTAATTATAGTGGGTCACAGCATGAGTACAGTTGCACTGTGGCACTTTAAATATTATGCACGTATATGGCACTTTAAGAGATAATTTTGATAGCACTTTTAATGACCCATTTGCACTTTATTAATATACATAGATCACATTCACACTTGGCTTAACCATATTTGGTATGTCAATGTTCCATAGTAGCCTAGATGTTCACAACTAGGTTATCATTTTTCGATAAGTTTGTTTCCATATTGATGTGTTGTAGCTTCTCATTCACAGCCGCGTTACTATGGTAACGATGGCGGCGCACACATGATGTCACATTGGGGGCGGAACCTCTCCGCATCACTGCACAGTTCCGGTTCAGATGCCGGCTTCAATATAGTATACGCTGGCCGCGTCACTATAGCAACGGCGGCGTCACACGTTACGCCGGGGGGAGGGGCTACTCGGCACATGCGCACATTCCCGACCGGGACGCCGGTTGTTTCATGGCACCTGTGGTGAGTTATTGTCATTTATTGCATCCTATATATGGTTGAATTGTTATGTTATGTTTCTATGATCCTGATGAAAGTCCTTGAATAGGACTGAAACATCGATTTTTTTAGGAGTACACAATAAAAGCTATGTTTTAAGAATCCGTGAGTGCAACCTTTGATTCAGCTATTTATATATATATACACAGAGATCGAGAATGATTGCTGTGTAAGGGACATATAAATCTAGATTGTAACTAAGGCCTCAATTTAATATTTTTGGATAAACTTTGATAATCAAATAATCACAATCTGTTAGAATGTTTTTATAAATGAATTATGTACAGCATTTTCCTATAGCCTGTAATGACTTCAGTAGATGAATAATTTGAAAAGAGATTGTGATCATTTGAAAAGCTTACCCAAATATTAAATTCAGACCTATGTCTGTAATTCTAATGTGAATAATCAGAGTTTAGAGAAAGATACAAAGATTCAATAGAACTCCACATAGTATTTTGTGCAACTTTTAGAATTGTATTTCATGTATCTATGGATGAAACCTATCACCTTTTTTTATTTATGTTTTCCCCTCACCTGCTTTTCATTATTCATAACTCGATTGTTTACTTTTCTTAGATTTTTGTTCCATATTGTTATCAATATGTTTTTCAATAATTGTTTAATAAAAATAATTTGAGAAGATTTAATAGAACTGTTAGTATAATAAGCCATGTTAAACATCCCATAATAGAAGAGTCCTGGAGATTTTATTTGGAGTCTCAATAAAATGTTCTAAAAACTTTGCAGATCTGAATATGTTTTCCACATTCATGGATGATACACAGATTTATAAGAAAGTTAATCTCAACTAATTGTTATAGGAAGATAATGATGATTATGAGACCTATAATTGTTCCCTACTAAATCAATAGATGTATTAAATAAGGTGTATACATGGCTCGTTGACTCACCTTTCCATAACTCCCCTGTCCCAGCACTTTGTGGAATCTGTAACCAGTGAATGACAGAGGCAGTGACTTCTTTGGTTCAACCACAGACTGTCCACTTACTCCTTAAAGAATGAACACATATAATATTAGTCTCCACTTCAACATAAACACAGAAACCAACTTAATTTGTCTAGTACCCCAGATTCACCCTACAAATCTTCCGATCCCACCCAGTTATATGAAATAATAATATGGTTTGTAAATATCACATCATGGACCATTTCATTAAAAAGATTTTATAGTTTGTGGTACATTACCCATGAATATCATTGGCTAATTCCTAATGGATGGATAACTATTCTAGATATATCAAAGGTCCTGAAATATTGGTCTGTACCATTATAGTTTAAAAAACCATCGCCTGAACACTCATGGACACCGAAGTGTGGGAGATAGTGATTAAATAGAGACAGTGAATGGGTTCAGAGTATGGTCAATTGAGGGTAAAATCTCTTATATTCTAAATTGGGCAATCTCTTTAAAGCTTGTATGTTCATCTTACCTGCCACACATTCATCATCGCTCGTTGACTTGTTTTCTTTGTTAAAGCACTTTTTCTCTCCTATCTCCTCTTTATCTCTTTTCTCCTCTTCCTGCTTTCCAGAGGAGATCTTTATCTTTTTCTGCCTAACTTGTTCCTTCTCCTCCTCATCATATTCACTGCTTCTTTTCAGGGCTTGTTTTCTGGGTGGAGATGTCTTACTGCTTTTTTCAGCAGATTTTCTCTCACTTTTCTGACCCAGTTTTGGTGAGGAGGAGAGCTTTGGTCTTTTCTGCATGAGCTGCTCCCCATGATCGTATTCCCTGCTTCGTTTCAGGGCTTGCTTTCTGGGTGGAGATGTCTGATCGCTCTTTACAGCAGACTTTCTCTCACTTTTCTGATCCAGTTTTGGAGATGAGGAGAGCTTTGGTCTTTTCTGCATAAGCTGCTCCTCTTCATCATGACTAGAGGTCCTGTATCTTTTCTGACCCTGATTTCTGATGCGTTCCTCAGCAAGGAGCCGTCTTTTGGGATCTCTCCCTCTCTCAATGTCCTGCTCATTGCAGCTCCTACTTCTCTTTCTCCTGGAATCTCCAGGAGATATCTGCTGTTCGTGCTCTTTTGAGCCGTTACTAAGTTTTCTATATTTGTTTTTAAATTCGTCAGAATTTTCCTGACTTACCTCAGTTTTCTTATGAGAACGCTTTCTTGTTCTCTTCATGCTTATATTATACTGTATGAATCTATTGCTTTCAAATTCACAAATATATTTAGCAATCAGCTAATTAATAATAGTAACAATAAATAAATTATTGCAAATCTCACTCAAGCAATGCAGTAGCCACTGTCCACTCGCAAGGTGTCCAGTCACTCTGAGGGTAGGTGAGTTTGACATTGATTGTTTCATCGGATGATGTCAGAGTGTTTACGATGTCACTACACCTGACCATATATGGAGATATGATCCAGTCAGTAATGGAGAAACTAATATTATCTTATCCCAGTTTTATAAGCCTCAGGATCCCCATCCAACAGTGAACTAGGAGTCATGGTAGAAACCTTTTTTGGATACTCCTGCTCTATAAGGGTGACAGGGAGATGTGACTGAGTTATTTTCATTCAATTAATGAATCAATCAATCTCTAAATAATAAAGACACTGTGCGGGTCCCTTCAGTCTGTGCTATGAAAGTTGCGTTTTGCCAGTAATTATCTGCTATATACTAACAACACACCCCAACTTTTGTTGTTTTTTTTATTTTACATTAAACTCTTCATGGGTGCTCCCAAAATAGTGATACCCAAGTACACACACACACACACACACACACACACACACACACACAGACACACACGCACACACACACAGACACACAAGCACACACAGACACACACAAACACACACACACAGACACACACAAACACACACAGACACGCACACTTGCACACACACACACACGCACATACAAGCACATACATGCCTCCTGGCCACATAAACAAACATATAAATACATCCAGTGATATAAATTTGATGGCACTATATAAATAATAAAATAATAATAATAATAATATAGACACAGATAGACACTAACATCACACATACATCCAGATTAAATCCAAAAATGACATTTATTATTAATTTTTTCACAAATATATGTTTTTCAGGGCTGACTGTTGATAGTTTGGGTCTTTAATCAAACTTCATTTGAGCTACAATGTTACTGGTGTTTTTAACCTTAAATTCTCAGGACCAATCGAGGATTTCGTAGTGTCTGATAGCGTTGGTGATGTGTGGAAACCTGCAGAATTTGAGGCATGCCACAAAGGCTTCACCTAGAGGGGCATTAGCTGTGCTGCCAACCTTACTCTGCTAACAACCAGTTCTGTGCTCCCTGTCTAAACCAATAAAAACAAAAATGTCTCCCATGCCCAAGTCTAATTGTTAGTTACCGTGCACATTGTCATTAATTACAAGCCGGTTATAAAGAAGATGTGGAGTATAACTCCCATCACTCTCAGACAGGATACAGTTCAAACCATATTGAAAGCTGGTATTTTTATTGTGGTAGCCAGCTGTATAATTGTAGTTTACTGGGTTTTAAACAAAGTACTTTCTAAACTCCCTAACCTTAAATCCCGATTCAGTAATTTAATGACATAGGATTACTGCACAGAGTTCACTATACCCCATGCTATTACTGTGCCCTGTACTGCAATAATAACCCAAAACGACACAATATTATGCATCTGTGCAGTAATTTGAATTTGTGATATAAATCAGCGATCTCTCGGAAGATTTAGCAAATCATTATGAGTGAGGGGCGGTCCCCTCTAGACATGCTTATACCATTGAATTTTCATAACTAACAATAATTTGTCTCCCAACGTAAATTATGTGTGAAAAACACACAAACATAAACTATTACAAGACAATATGACAGATTTTAGTGGATAAAGTGGCATTATTTGGATTTCACATTTCATACTGTATTATATCATTTTGTGGGGAAGTTTTGGTCAACGTGATTGCTACTTACATTATAGTAACTTATTACCAAAATTTGAAAAATTCTAAAATTGAAACACGAATGTGCTCATTGCAATATGTGATCTATAAATGCCGAAATAGATGAAACCCATTGGCTTACAAGGGATTTTCAAAGATAGGATAAGTAAATCGAATCATTTTTAGATTTACTTCTCTGGCTAATTCTGCACTCGTTTTCAGAAATCATAATAGTTAAATCTGTGGAAAAAGTTTAAATACGTTTTTGAACCAGTCAGTAATGGAGAAACTAATATTTTCTAATTCCAGTTTTATAAGTCTCAGGATCCCCATCCAACAGGGAGCTGAGAGTCATGGTAGAAACTTTTTTTTTTGGCTACTCCTGCTCTGTTTTTTTGAATTGTGTTTTTTTTTATCCCATTAATTTAGCATTATATTTATATATTAGTGTAGGACCCACCGATATTAAAATACTGTGACGTAGTGGTGGGTGTAACACAATATGGCCGTATGGTGGAACTGAATCCCCATATTTGTTTGGTAATTTAGGTGACTTTCTAAAATTGAAAACTGTATTTTTATGTGTGAGCTGTTCCTTAATCTGTATTATTAATCATTTAAAGAGACAGCAGCTAACCGTTATGACAGTGTACAAAATATTTCCAAAAATCTGACCAAGACTAAATCAGAAGGACAATACTGATAATAACTTCCATTAAGCCAATCAGAGCTGGACACGTGTCAGAAACAACCCCAGTGTGAGAAAGCCCTGCTCACTTTATTGTATAGACTTTGTATGTATGTTGTTATGGTTGTTTTACATGTGCTGTCTCTTTAAATAATGACACATGACTATTTATTTGTGTTGTGCATCCTTTTGCTTTCTTGGTTATTAAATCAATCATTGTCAGTCTCTGTATTTTCTGTGCTTTTGTTTATTTTTAATTCACCGTAGTTTTTTTATTTACACATTAGAAGGGATTATTTTTTCTGATGGCGGCGGGATCTTTGGTAAATGTTGGTGATGGGCGGAGCTTAAACAGCATTCCATTTCAGTTGCAGATTTACCCACAATCCATCAGTGAAATCAGTCCGGCAGAAGGCAGACAGCAGACAATATGGAGGGAGGAGAACAAAATGGCGGCAGCACACACAATGTTTTATTTATTTAAACTATACCAGTGGCTGACACAGTGCCCACATGTAATGGTTACCATGACAACATGAATTAATGAAGCCACCACCCCATCGCTGCTAACCCACAGCAGGCCCCAGAGGAACCAAAGCCAAGTGAAATAGAGAAATGTACTCAATGCTGCACGTACAATGTACGATGGGATCGCCGCTGGGACGGCCATAATGTCAGAGCAGACGGCAATGCTCTCCAGCTAAACAGCAGGTCGGGGAAATCACCGAATCATCACAGCATTGGCAACCACCAAAATCTTACTCCACAACCTCAGAGACCCCCAATAAACTCCCGATAAACCCCCGACAGGAGATAGTGGGCCAAGCCGCCTGACTGCCTCTCCTAAACTGGCCGCCATGATTCCCCCCATGTAACTGGCATCCGGTATCGTTCACCATCATTACCCGCTATGGGAGGCTCTGCTAAATGGACCTTCCTGGAAATACTGGACAGATACGGACACCATCACAATACGTTATTGGATCTGCTAAACGGACATACCTGGAAATACTGGACAGATGCGGACACCATCACAGGCCGTTATTGGATCTGCTAAATGGACCTTCCTGGAAATACTGGACAGATACGGACACCATCACAGGCCGTTATTGGATCTGCTAAATGGACCTTCCTGGAAATACTGGACAGAGGACACCATCACAGGCCGTTATTTGATCTGCTCAATGGACCTTCCTGGAAATACTGGACAGATACGGACACCATCACAATCCGTTATTGGATCTGCTAAATGGACCTTCTTGGAAATACTGGACAGATACGGACACCATCACAATACTGGACAGATACGGACACCATCACAATCCATTATTGGATCTGCTAAATGGACCTTCCTGGAAATACTGGACAGATACGGACACCATCACAATCTGTTATTGGACCTGCTAAATGGACCTTCCTGGTAATACTGAACAGATACTGACACTAACGCTAAACCTCCGCAGTAATGAGCATGTTGAGCTGGTAGCTCTGTGGGTGAGTTATAGAGACCCAGATCGCTCCGGTAAATTCAGGCTAACATTAAACTATATACAAAGACCAACTGCCCACCCAATTTCTTAAATAAAAATAAACTTTAAATCGTACCATAATTTTATTAAAATCCAAATTGATATATAGACACATATATGTACAAATCACAGGGATATGGAAGCAGTAAGTTATAAATTCCTCAGTATAGTCTATATATACAGAAGGATGCAGAGTATAATGTCTGTGTGTTAAATCAATACATGTAATAAATGACTGAAAAATAAATATAAAAAACTCCTGTACTAAGTGTTTTACCTCCTTGTGTAGATACATTGTGATAAAATGACACCAGAAGCCCCCAATGTTTCGGCCTGAATAGCCTTCATCAAGGGTGATGCTTGGGCTAAAAATAAATATAAAAAGACAAGCTCTCCTCCCTCCTCCCGGCCTCAAGGTATAGATAATATGTTATGTGATAGTTTAATGTGAGCCTGGATTTACAATGCTTTTGTGGCATTAACCATCTGGCCATTATATTCAGGTTCTATTTATCCTAAGAGGCTCCATTTTGCCCTAATATTTTGTGGACTTTCTGGACTTAAATATTAATTTCAATTCATTTTAATTTGTGGTATTAATATTTAATATAATGGACATGTATTTTATTCTATTTTAAGATGTTGCTATACCCCAATAATTGATCTATATTTGTATTTATATTGATATCTCTATATTTTTAATTTCTATTCAGCATTTTATCCCACTCTAAGCTATTTCTCCTGACCATCCTGCTATACTGTTAGCTAGGTTATATCTTTGTAGTTAATTTAGGGTATGGTGAACCCTGGGTTAATTTGAACAATATTTAGTTAATTGTCCCCTAAAGCACTTTTGGATGGGGACAGGGCACATCATGACCGGTCTGCAGCTACGTAGCCTCATATGCAGCAAACTGTGATGCACTGTATGTTCTGACACCTTTCTGGTGGCCAACATTACGATTTCCAGCAATTTGAGTTTCAGTAGCTCACCTATGTGATCGGACCAGACGGGCATCAATTTATTTATTTATTACTGGCATTTATAAAGCGCCAACATATTCTGCAGTGCTGTACGATTGGGAAAAAGACAAACATAATAAGAACAAACCAATACAACAGGTAGAGGACCCTGCCCGTCAGCTTACAATCTAAAGGTTAAAATGGGGAGATGATCCTTGGGTGCCCATGACCATGATGCTGGTTCACCGGTTGTCCTTCCTTGCACCATATGGGGTTAGTACTAACCACTGCATACCGGGAACACCCAATCACCCAAAACTTGCCCTTTGGAGATGCTCTGACCCAGCTGTCTAGCCTTTTGGTCTTTGTCAAAGTCCTCAGATCTTTTCTCTTGTCCATTTTCCCTCCTGCCAACACATGAAATTCAAGAATTGACTGTTCACTTGCTGCCCAATATCCCACCCCTTGACAGGTGGCATTGTAATGATATAATCAATGTTGTGGCTGATCAG